TCAAAGGTACACTGTAGAACCCTGTAGTGAATAGTATAGTGAACCCTCAGCTTTTCACACTTGAAATAGTTAACTCTGGTATGAGGATTCCTGTCTTGTGTTCCCTTGTTTTGTGTTTTAGACCCTTATTTTGAAGTATAGTTTTGTTCCCTTTGTTTCTGTGTTCACTTCCTGTGTTTAGTTCATGTTTCCATTGTTGCATTGCTAACCTTGTCTGTTTCCACAGATACCTATCACTCTCACCTTTCCCTAGTAAGCCCTTGCCATCTTGGGTATTTATACCCCAATAATTCCTATTCATAATTTTCAGTCACGTGCCTCGAAGACCTGTAGGGCAAAACATCCATGGAACTGCAGTGCAAGCCTGTCAATTTTCCATCTGTTTCGTACTGTATCGCGTACCTTGTCAGTGTCGTGCGTTTGCTTGGCCATTTGTTGTGATAAACAGGAAAGTGTGTTCAAGCACCAGCAAAACACAGTGTAAAGATATACTCTTTGAGAGAAGCAGTCAATCAGCAGAAGTTAAAAGCAGCCCGTAAGTGTATTTATTTCTTGTCTCAGGCCATGTCCAAATGTACACAGGTATTTTTATAAACTGAGTTTATCCTTTTTCCGTTTAAAAAAAAATCTCTGTCCACATAAAAACGCAAACGCATGCTATGAAGTGCTGTCAAGAGCATGCAAAGCCTACAGGTGGTGATATAATCTCAACCGTAAAGCCATGTTGGCCAATCAGAAGCCTGAAAAAGCTTCCAGTAGGCGGAGATAACAGTGCAGGCTCCGACGTCACAAGCCAAAAACTCCGGTTTCGCTGTCCACATTATAACACTGCAACTTTTTGAAAATCTTCACCCTGGCAGGCGTTTTCAAAAATGTTCGGCTTCAATGAACTGGTGCTGCATTTGCGTGTGGATGAACGGCCAAACTGTGTAGAAAAAGCTGCGGTTTTAAAAATAACCGCGTTCGTGTAGACAGGGCCACAGTGTTAAGGGCAGTTGTCGTTGCTAGGAAACGCTTGTTTTGTTTACTGTGTGGAGACATGCTGACATTGCGTTTGGTCTCGTACTGTATCGCGTAACTTGTCAGTGTGCTTGCTTGGCCATTTGTTGTGATAAACAGGAAAGTGTGTCCAGCTGAATTCAGAATCAGAATCAGAATGAGCTTTATTGCCAGGTATGTTTACACATACAAGGAATTTGTTTTCGTGACAGAAGCTTCCACAGTGTAACAGAATGACAGTGACAGAACAAAAAAACACAGATAATAAAAAATAAAACAAGTAAATAAGGAATAGAAATATATAAATTGACAGTTGTATGTGTAGGTATATTACAATAGACAGTTTTTGTATGTACAGGTACTGAATATTATGTGCAAATTTGAGGTGTAGACTAAGTATGTGTGTTAGATAAATAAGTGTATGAGTGAATAAATAGTGTGTGTTCCACAGTTATTGTTAAGTGTTCATGAGATGCATGGCCTGAGGGAAGAAACTGTTCCCGTGTCTGGTCATTCTGGTCCTCAATGCTCTGTAGCGTCGACCAGATGGCAACAGTTCATAGAGGGAGTGTGCTGGATGTGAGGGGTCCAGAGTGATTCTGCCAGCCCTTTTGCTCACTCTGGATAAGTACAGTTCTTGGAGAGAAGGGAGGGTTGTACCAATGATTCGCTCAGCAGTCCGGACTACCCTCTGAAGTCTTCTGAGGTCAGATTTGGTAGCTGAGCTGAACCAGACAGTTATTGAAGTGCAGAGGATGGATTCAATGATGGCGGAGTAGAACTGTTTCAGCAGCTCCAGTGGCAGGTTGAACTTCCTCAGCTGG